TCCCTAGTTTTTAAATTGTGCTTGCAACTTACATCTTATGACCAAGATTAAGGGTTGATGTTGCTACTGCCATTTAAGGGACATAAATAATTTTATGTGAAAAGCTGGTATCTACATCCATCTGAAGCTAAAATTTTAAACAGATGTCTGATGGAAACTAAACAGGGAAAATGATGCAGTTATCTACTAAGGCAATGAGATACGCAAATAAGATACGCAGACATGGAACAAAACCTATATAACTTTAAAGGGTATAAAGAAAAAACATCTATGTCCTCATTGTTTAAACCATTACAGATTATTCGTACCCTTATACAGATTTTTAAATATTCTTTTTTAGAGACAGGGTCTCACTCCACCATCCAGGCTGGAGTGCTGTGGTGCAATCACAGCTCACTGCAGCCTCAAACTCCAGAGCTCAAGTAATCCTCCTGCCTCAGCCTCCTGACTACCTGTGACTATAGATATACACCACTACACCCAGCTAATTTTTTTTTTTTTTTTTTTTTTTGAGACGAAGTTTCACTCTTGTTGCCCAAGCCGCAGTGCAATGGCATGATCTCTGCTCACCACAACCTCCGCCCCCCAGGTTCAAACGATTCTCCTGCCTCAGCCTCCCGAGTAGCTGGGATTATAGGCATGTGCCACTATGCCCGGTTAATTTTGTATTTTTAATAGAGATGGGGTTTCTCCATGTTGATCAGGCTGGTCTTGACCTCAGGTGATCTGACCGCCTCAGCCTCCCAAAGTGCTGGGATTACAGGCGTGAGCCACCACACCCGGCCAACACCCAGCTAACTTTTAAATTTTTTATAGAGACAGGGTCTTGCTATGTTGCCCAGGCTGGTCTCAAACTCCTGGCCTGAAGCAATCCTCCCACCTCGGCCACCCAAAGTGCCGAGATTACAGGCATGAGCCACTGCACTTGACCCCTACCTCTCTCTCTCTCTCTCTTTTTGGAGACAGTGTCTCATTCCATTGCCCAGGTTGGAGTGCAGGGGCACAATCACAGTTCACTGCAGCCTCAAAGTCCCAGGCTAAGGTGATCTCCCAGGTAGCTGGGACTACAGGGATGTACCACCACATATGGCTGTTTTTGTACAGGCAGAGTCTCACCATGTTGCCCAGGCTGGTCTCAATCCTCCTGCCTCGGCCTCCCAAAGTGCTAGGATTATAGGCATAAGCCACTGTGCCTGGCCTCTTTACATCGTTTTTGTAAAATAGCACACTGTTTTGAAAATCAGGCACAGTGGCTCACGTCTATAATCCCAGCACTTTGGGAAGCCAAGGCGGGTGGATCACCAGGTCAGGAGATCAAGACCATCTAACCAGGCTGACACAGTGAAACCTCATCTCTGCTAAAAATACAAAAAATTAGTCGGGTGTGGTGGCACATAACTGTAGTCCCAGCTACTTGAGAGGCTGAAGCAGGAGAATCATTTCAACCAAGGGAGGCGGAGGTTGCAGTGAGCCGAGATCATGTCACTGTACTTCAGCCTGGGGGACAGAGCGAGGCTCTGTTTAAAAAAAAAAAAAAAAATCAGTCTGGCAGTTCCACAAAAGGTTAGAGTTACCATATGACCCAGCAATTCCATTCCTAGGTACACACCCAAGAGAGATAAAAACAAATATATCACCAAGAACTTGTATGCAAAATGGTTTATAACAGCATTATTCATAATAGCTAAAAGGTGGAAACAACTCAAATGTCCATCAACTGATGAACAGAGAAATAAAACGTGACATACCCATACAAGGGATTATCTGGCAATAAAGAAAAATAAAGTACTGCTACACACTACAACTGGCACGAAACTTAAAAGCTATGCTAGGTGAAAGAAGTCCACCACAAAAGGCCACGTGGTGTATTATTCTGTTTATATGAGATGTCCAGAATAGACAAATATTTATAGAGACAGAAAGGAGATTAGTGGTTGCATGGTGCTGAGGAGCTGGAGTTGGGAAGGAAATGAGGAGTGGCTGCTAACGAAGACGGGGTTTTTTCGGGGGATGATGAAAGGTTCTAAAATTGATTGTGGTGATAACCACACGACTCTGAATACACTAAAAACCACTGACTTATACACTTTAAAAGGGTAAACTGTATGGTATTTGAATTATTTTTTTTAATTGGCAAACAAATAAGGCATATATTTGAGATAAAAAGACAACAGAGGCAGAAAACTAGAAATTCTATTAATACCCATCTCTGAAATAAGATTGCTTCTGCTCCAATTACAGAACACAGACTTAGGCTTTAGCAAATCTGGAAACAGTGACCACATTAAAAGATGCTGCTGGAATAAATGCAGCTTATTCAAACTGATACACAGACATCCAAATCAGAAAGTCATACTAAGGAGGAATACGTAGTTTTGTTTAACAAAGTCTTCCTATGTTCTTAAAAAAATAATAAGACTAGAAGAAAATATGTAAAAATGCAAAACAGAAAAACTATTCTGAAACATGTGAAAGTAACACTGGTCCTCCAAAGAGCCTAGGTACAAATGGAAACACCCACCAAAACTCAGTAGACTATTAATAACAATTATTTCCAAGTGGGGGAATTTTTTTTCTTCTCTTTTACAATTTACCGTATAATCAAAAAACACAATGTAAAAAGGATTAAGCTTCTAAAAACTCTTTTAAATTGAGTTATATGGAAATTGAAATAAAGATACCAAGATTTAAATTAACATGTTAAAAGAAAATAAAGTCGTGATTTTCAACATGTGGTTATTTGCCCTTCCTGCTGTTCACTGTTGTAAAGCTCCTTTACCATAAAACAGGATTACAAGGAAAGAAAAAATGGCAAAAACACAAATTGCTAAAATTACAATCTCTTGAGAAAGGTGTACCAAACTATTCACTGAGATAGGATCTGGAAATACTTTCTCTGTTGTTACTTTTACTCCTAATTAGCAGAGTCATTACGTATATTCAGCTGTTAATGTGAACCACAATCTTGCGGCCCCTGAGAAGTGCAGTAGTTTATACTGTACAGCCCAACAGCTGTCAAAATAATTATGTCTATGGAGGAAATCTCACTTTCCTTTTTATTTGAATATAATCTCTTTCCCTTAGATTATCGAGAGAAAGAAAAGGGAAAGTAAGAAGAATAAAGAAGTTCTTAAAGTTTTGATAATATTCACACTTTTGGGCTTAAAAACATCATGTAAATGTTAGTTCCTAAAGCCATCTTGGTTTTTTCCCCATTTATTAAATAGTCAGCTACTAGTCTCAAAAATGTTACAGATTGGTGGCCATGAACGACATCAGAAAACCTCCCTGAAGGCCTCAACCTTTTCTGAATGAGGTGTGACATTTAATTTCCCCAGAACTGGGAGTGCCAAATATGCAAATCCTGACTGGCGGATGGACAAAGTGCTGGGCGGGCTGGCTCCTGGCTCTAAATCAAACTGCCAGAGACCCCAGGCTTAGCACTCAAACCTGAATGCCAGGCCAAAGGGTGCCCACCTTCAAGGGAAAGGTCTGTGATAACAAGCCATCCTGATCTTTCAGTGTGTCAGCAAAACCATTCAAAAGACATTGCCAAAAAAAAAAATGCAAACAAAAACTATAAACATCTGCTTTTAATAGGCCTAACTGCCACCTAGGCTTTTTGTCTCTCGATCAGCAATAGTGAATAGTGTTCTAGCATAAGTACCAACAAAAGGAGAATAAGAACTCCAAACTTTTTTCGATTCCTATAACAAATAATAATCAGAGTCTGCTTAAATTCATTTTAATGTTTCTTAAAATTCGACTGTCAAACTTCCAGTGACACTTAAAGCATAAAAATAGCTTCATTTTTACTTACTCTTAAGGCAATTTAACCCTGTCCTCAAACTTCCTCCCCAAGAACTCTACATGGAAAAACATGTGCTGACTTGTGGGGCAGTGCGTGCTTTGCTATCATTACCTGCTGTTCAGGTAACAGGGCGGCAGCTCAGCAGAGTTACACAGGACCAGGCAGCCTGAGTCTAGATCCAGGCCCCACCTGTACCAGCTGCGTGACTTAACCCTTGCCAGGCCGCCTTTGTTTTTATTTTATTTTCTGAAATCTACTCACTCATTATTTTTTTTTCCCCACAAGACAAGACAAGGTCTGGCTATGTTACCCAGGCTGGTCTCGAACCCCTCAGCTCAAGCGATCCTCCAGCCTCAGCCTGTCAAAGAAAGAAGCCACCCACCTAGCCTCCTTTCTTTATTTGTAGTAATGCCCACTTCATAGGGTAGTCCTAAGGACTAAATATTATCATCTATGTAATACACTGGGCCCGCCTGGCACAATGAACAAACAGTGAACAAAACAGGCTATGGCTACGTCGGAGTGAGGACAATTCCTAGGCGTCAAATCCCCACACTGAGAGCAAACAGGACATAAATGCTTTCATGGGTTACTTCTACTAGGAGGCAGCACCTTGTGGTAAAAAAACACTGGCCCTAGGCAATCTCATATATTTCGTCCTTAAATCACTCTACTTGTGGACTTGAGCTCTTCTCTGGAAAATAAACAGATTACATTAGACGAGTGACTGTCTTCCTTTTAAAAAACTTTCTTTTTAAACTGTAATAGGGTAATATATGCTTAGAAAATGTTCAAGAAATGCAGATAAAAGAGGATATAATAAGAGGTCTCCTTTTCTTAACTCACTCCTTTTCCCTAGAAGTTTTCAAACTGTATTGTGGCCCTAGGGCTCCCTGGAAACAGAAGGTGGCTTCCAAGGAGAGATCAAGTGGACAGAGCCCCAGGGATTCCCCCAACACTACTTCAACCACAGTGGCCCTGCTTTTATGTGTCTTCTATACTAGGTTTCATGGATTTTGAGACAAGGGTTCCACTACTAAAATGAAGTTGGAAAATCATAGGATTAAATTATTTTAAAAACATTACCCAGCTCTAAAAATGTAAGTCTGTGGTCTACTGAACCAAATCCTCATATTTGCTATTACATTTATATCAGGTTTCCATATAATTTCCCTTTATTTCACCTTACCTCTAGCTCAAGATCCTGAGGTTCCATTTCAGAAAGTGACAGCACAGCAATTTTGGTAACTTTACAGACCTCATGGTCTCCTGGGAGTTTGCCCACCAATGCTTTCTGCCGAATTAGAATAAGCCACCACGGAAGATCTGAAAGAGGAGAGTCATAATAAAGTCTGGCGTTTTTAGAGCGCTACTGTTCTGACAAGTTGAAGGCGAATAACCTAACAATGATAACCAAAAAAAAAAATGTGCATCCAAAATAAACTTTTAAAGTAAAACATATCACAAAGACATAAAATAACCCTTAAACATGTGAAAAGATGTTCAATCTCACTCATAATTAGGGAAATGTAAATTAAAACCAGTTGTGACACCATGCTCACCCATCAGATTGGGAACAATTAACCAGAATGACAACACATGTGCTGGCGAGGCTGTGAGAAAACTGAAAACAGCTGTGCAGGTGAGAATACCGACGACAAATACAACTTTTCTGGAAGGAAATTTAGCAGTACCTAACAATACAACAAATGCACTTACCTTTAATCAGTCCAGTGATCCCACCCTTGGGAATTTACCCTGAGGGTACACCTCAACAACAAAGTATATACACTGAAGCCTATTGTATAATTACAAAACACTGGAAACAGCCTAATGTCCAGATACAGGACAGTGGTTGAATAAACTATGGCACATCCATGCAATGGAGTACTATGCAGCTGTAAAAAAAAAAAAAAAAGTATTCTATAAATTAATAAGGAAGGATTCCTGGATGCATTAAGTAGATAAACTGAATATATTATTAACATACCGCCATCCCTCGGTATCTGCGGGGGACTGGCTCCAGGACCCCCGTGGATACCAAATTCCACGGATGCTCAAGTCCATCATGTAAAATGGCATAGTATTTGTATTTAACCAATGCACATCCTCTCATATACTTGAAATCGTCTCTAGATTGCTTACAATACCTGATATAATCTAAATGCTATGGTAAACAGTTTTTAAACTGTATTGTTTAAGGAATAATGACGAGAAAAAATGTCTATACATGTCCAGTACAGATGCAACCATCCTTTTTTTTTTCCAAAAATTTTCCATCCATGGTTAGTTAGAGCCACAGATAGAGAACTCAATGGATACACAGGGCTGACTGTACATAATAAGGCTATGTTACAATAACATAATAAATATATGTTTTTGTTTTTGTTTTGAGACTAGGTCTCACTCTGTCACCCAGGCTAGAGTGCAATGGTGCAATCTCAGCTCATGGCAGCCTCTGCCTCCTGGGCTCAAGCAATCCTCCCACCTCAGCCTCTAAAGTAGCTGGGACCACAAGCATGCACCACCATGCCCAGCTAATTTTTGTACTTTTCTTAGAGATGGGGTTTTGCCATGTTGCCCAGGCTGTTCTCAAACTGCTGGGCTCAAGCAATCTTCCAGCCTTGATCTCCCAAAGTGCTGGGATTATCGGAGTGAGCCACCGTGCCCAGGCAATAAAATATATTATCAAATCAAAGCATAAAAGAATACCTAGAGTGTACTACCCTTCATGTAAGAAAGAAAATATGAGGTGATACATATCTATACATAGTCACGTACCACATAATGATGTTTCAGTCAATGATGGGCTACATATGCAGTAGTGGTCCCTTAAAATTATAATGGAGCTGAAAAATTCCTGTCACTTAGTGACATCGTAATGTAGCATGACATATTACGCGTGTGTGTGATTCTGGTATAAACCTACTGCACTGCTAGTGATAGAAAAGTATACAACATACAATTACATATGTACATAAGACTTGATAATGATAATAAATGACTGTTACTGGTTTATGTATTTGCTATACTATACTTTTTATCATTATTTTAGGTGTACACCTATTTACAAATAAGGGTAAAAAGAAAATGTTTTTGCACAGTTGTACAATGTGTTTGTGTTTTAACCTGTTATTACAGAAGAGTCAAAAAGTTTTAAAACATTAAAGAGTTTATAAAGTAAAAAAGTTACAGTAAGCTTAGGTTAATTTAGTATTGAAGAAAGAAAAAAATTTTGGCAGGGCATGGAGGCTCATTCATGTCTGTAATTCCAGCACTTTGAGAGGCCCAAGTAGGAGGATTGCTTGAGCCCAGGACTTCAAGACCAGCCTGGATAACATATGGAGACCTCGTTTCTACAAAAAATTTAAAAATTAGCCAGGAGTTGGGACACGCACCTGTAGTCCCAGCTACTCAGGAGGCTGAGGTAGGAGGATCGCTTAAGCCTGGGAGGTTGACGCAGCAGTGAGTCATGGTCATGCCACCGCACTCCGGCTTGGGTGACAGGGAAAGATCCCATCTCATAAAAAATAAAAAATAAAACAAAAAAACAAAAAAAAATTTTAAAATGGAAGAAATTTTAAAAATAAAGTCAGTGTCGCCTACACGTATGGTGTATATAAAGTCTACAGTAGTGTACAATAATGTCCTAGGCCTTCACATTCACTTACTGACTCACCCAGAGCAACTTCTGGTTCCGCAAGTTCCATTCATAGTTAAGTACCCAATACAGGTGTACCATTTTTATCTTTTACACCATATCTTTTATACAGTATTTTTACCGTACCATTTCTATGTTTAGATGAAATTGCCCAACAATGCATTTCTCATTAAGTGATGCATAACTATATGTATCCACGCATTTGTACAAAAACAAGAGGAGAGAGAAGTCAGTGAGATTAGTTATCTCCACAGAGTAGGTGGAAACGGGGTAGAAAGAAGAGGGGACGGGAATAGGATAAAAGAGATGAGGGGGAAGTGACAGTTCTCCGAGTATGCCCTGGCAAATGACTGACTGGTCTCTGAGTAGAATTCTGACTCTTAGAATAATGGTAATGTTTTACATATCCCTTCAAATAAATAGTTCAAATCAACCAGAATGTGGGAGAACCTCAAACTGCAAACCCAGCTCTATTAAAAATTAAGACTAGGCCGGACACGGTGGCTCACGCCTGTAATCCCAGCACTTTGGGAGGCCGAGGCAGGCGGATCATGAGGTTAGGAGATCGAGACCATCCTGGCTAACACGGTGAAACCCCGTCTCTACTAAAAAATACAATTAGCCAGGCGTGGTGGCGGGCACCTGTAGTCCCAGCTACTCGGGAGGCTGAGGCAGAAGAATGGCGTGAACCCGGGAGGTGGAGCTTGCAGTGAGCCACGATCGCGCCACTGCACTCCAGCCTGGGTGACAGTGCGAGACTCTGTCTCAAAAAGTAAATAAATAAATAAGAATAGAACTAAATTGTAGGAGATAGAGAAGAAAAAATTAACCAAAGTAACTTCAGAAAACTATTTGGTAAAGATAAAGACAAAAAAAACCATATGCACTATTGTACTTGGTTACTAAATTTATTTTTCAGAAGAGTATGGGTTGGTAATTCTCCAACTACTTTGTGTGTACACTGGGACTGAACAGAGAACTAAATATATTGAGGAGAATGGAGGGAAAATGATAAAACAACCGAAAGAAACCTTTAATAAATACAAGACAGAAAGAAGCAAACACCCAATCTTTCCAATCCAAATTTCTATTTCTCACAAGAGACTTTTAATTAAACGAAAAATAGTCTAAGAAAGACAGCGTGCAAAAGCAATTTTTCAGTTTATAAGACTACACCATTAAAAAAACACTCCCCAATTAGACCCCAAACCAAAAATTATTGAAATTGTGTTTCAGGAATTTATTATAGAAAAATAACACCATATATTTCCCATATAAAAGAATTTTTATAAAGGATATACAGGCTGGACACAGTGGTTCACACCTATAATCCTAGCACTTTGGGAGGCCCTGGGCAGATCACATGAGGCCAGGAGCTCAAAACCAGCCTGGCCAACATTTCAAAACTCTGTCTCTACTAAAAATACAAAAATTAGCCAGGCATGGTGGTGCACATATGTAATCCCAGCTACTCGGAGGGCTGAGGCATGAGAATCGCTTGAACTCGGGAGGCAGAGGTTGCAGTGAGCCGAGATGGCACCACTGAACTCCAGCCTGGGCGAGACAGTGAGACTCTGCCTCAAAAACAAATTTTTTAAATTAAATAAATAAAAATAAAAAGTATATATAATATCTTCATTTGCCCCATTTATTCCCCAAGTATTGATCAACTCTCATTTTAGAAATGGTGCTTTTGGAGATATGCTTTAAGCATTTCATAAATGCAAAAGTTTGGAAACATTTCATAATTCCTTATAAAATAGGGTGGAAATTTACTTCAAAGTTTTAAGGCTTTTATAAGCCATTTCCCTATTATCATTAAACATTAACTGAAGACCCACCATGTGCTAGGAAATTAATCAGGCATGGATACACATTACCAAGCATCTTGTAGGGGTTAGGTGAAACATTACCTGTTAGCTGCTTGGCAACAAACCTAACGTGTAAATCTTCCTAAAAAGCACATAACAGACAACAAACTGTTCAATGTCAATAAATTTTGTTGCATAAAAAGAAATCCTTACAATAGGTCTCTTAACCTCACAGGAATAATTTCTATCTTATTTTATCTTATTTATTTTTCTTTTCTGAGATGGAGTCTTGTGCTGTTGCGAGGCTGGAGTGCAGTGGTGCAATCTCAGCTCACTGCAACCTCCACCTCCCGGGTTTAAGCAATTCTCCCGCCTCAGCCTCTTGGGTAGCTGGGACTACGGGTGCCCGCCACCACACCTGGCTAATTTTTGTAGGTTTTTTTTTTGGTTTTTTGTAGTTTTTTTTGTTTTTTAGTAGAGATGGGGTTTCACCCTATTGGCCAGGCTGGTCTCAAACGCCTGACCTTGTGATCCACCCGACTCGGCCTCCCAAAGTGCCAGGATTACAGGCGTGAGCCACTGCGCCCGGCCATTTCTATCCTATAGTGAACAATTTACAGTTGGGCCAGGCATGGTGGGTCATCCCTGTAATCCCAGCACTTTGGGAGGCTGAGGAGGAAGGATTACTCAAAGCCAGGGGTTCAAAAACAGCCTGGCCAGCATAGTAAGACTCCAGCCCTATAAAAATTGTTTTTAAAAATTAGCCAAGGCCAGGTGCAGTGGCTCATGCCTGTAATCCCAGCATTCTGGGAAGCTGAGGTGAGTGGATCGCTTGAGTCCAGAAGTTTCAAACC